CAAAGGCCCACTGGCCTCAGGAACTCAGTATTTTAAGGGTGCTCAATTTTGCTTCATTCATAGCATTAATCAAGGGGCCATCTTCTGTGTGGGGAGGCAACAGCCGTAGAAAAGGAAGCCATGGAAGTCAGATGCAGAAGTGAGCCATGCTAGTTAGAGCTTGTTCTTGGGGAGCAGAAGCTAATGGGAGCCTGGTGCCCCAGGGAGGGGAGCAGTATGCCCCCAACCTGAGATAGGTGCCCAACATAAGCAGGCTCTCATCAGGGATCCAAATAAATAAACATGGTCACATCCTTACCTCTGAGATGACTTTTATTTTTCCAGTAATGGGGTTGGAACCCAGGGCCTTGCATATTCTAGGCAAGTGCTCTACCACTGAGTTACATTCCCAGGTTTTGTTTTGTTTTTGTACTAGGAATCAAACTCATAACCTTGTGCTTGCCAAGCAGGCACTTGTGCCATGAGTTATATCCCTGTCCTCTGTCCTCTATCCTCTGTCCTCTGTCCTCTACCCTCTATCTTCTATCCTCTACCCCCTGTCCTCTGTCCTCTGTCCTCTGTCCTCTATCCTCTACCCTCTCTTCTCTCTCTCTCTTCTCTCTCTCTCTCTCTCTCTCTCTCTCTCTCTCTCTCTCTCTCTCCTGACCCTTCCTCCCTTTCTCCCTTTTTTCTTTCTTAGAGCCCTCACACTGAGCTGTACTCTAGCCCCTTGTATCTTCTGAGGCAGGATCTCACTAGGCTGCTAATTTGTCCACATTGTGTTCAAATTTCTGGTTCTCCTGCTTCAACCTCCCACAGTGCTGAGTTTATATCATGGCCCTATTTTTTTTTTAAACAAACTTTCTGGAGAGAGTCAGTCTTCTTCCTCATTTCATTGGTCCTCAGTTGACCACTTTTGTCTTCTGACTTAACTGTGCCCTCACCGAGGTCACTAGCATCTTCCTTGTTGGTAAATCCCAGATTGTCCTCTTCTTCCTAAACCAGACTCTCCACCCCCCTCTCCTCAGCCTTCCAAGATGTTTCTCTGCTGCCTCCTCAGAGTGCACTGTCCGGGTTCTTCTCCTATGGCACTTGTGTTTCTCACTGCCTGTGCTTCTCAAGCTCTCATTTCTTCTCCTATGTGACACTGAGAGGGCCTGTGTTATCTTCAGCTCAATTCTCTTCCTTGAAGTCAGTATAAATCATGGGACATGAACTCTGAAATGAACATTTCCAAACTAAAAATTGGCTCACTTAAAAACTTAAACACCTTGAAGGAGTGGGGAGAACCTAAGCATTTGAGACTCTAAAGCTTTTGTCTGATTTTCCACATGATACTTCTCCACTGGGGTACCAGGTGCCACTAAAAGCGAAATGCAGGGGAGGCACACAGCGTGGAGACAGTGGTACTCGGGTATCCCCCTGTGGAAGAGGGGTAGTGGAAGTCTGAGTAATCTCTGCCATAAGTGTTGCAACTGACGTCCATTCCATACCAGATAGTGAGCCTAAATCAATCAGAAGCTCTCTCAGCAACTGTCATTGGTGGGGAGCAACTGTTTTAGCTAAATAACGAAGGGAGAGATTTATATCTCATACCTTGGAGGAGGTTTTCTCTTTCCTCCAGTGGATGTGAGCAGGAACAAATTAGCCAGTGGATTCTGGCAGCCATTGTAAAGTCATGAGGAAAGCCATCCCCAAGGCACACAAACCCCACAAAGAAAGGTTCACCAGAGCCAAAGAGTGAGCCAGGGTTCTTGGTAACATCACTGAACTTCTGAATCAATTCATATTAGTAAAAGGCAAAAGATTTATACGATCTGAAGAGAAACCAGAGTATATCAATTCATATTAGAACTTCCCCTGCTTCTGGGTTCTTGTTATATGAAACATTTCCTTCTTTTTTTTTTTTTTTTTAACATTTATTTAGTGTGTGTGTGTGTGTGTGTGTGTGTGTGTGTGTGGCCAGCTCAGCCCACCAGGGGGCGCGGCTGGCTGGCATGTGGTGCTGGGGGATTGAACTGCAGTCCCTGTGCTTTGCTAAGCTTGTTCCAAGTAGGTGCTTTAGACCACTGAGCCATCTCTCCAGCCCCATTTCCTTCTTTTGATGTTGTTACTTGTAATAAAATGTATTTTAGGCTGGCTAGATAGCTCAGCAGACTAAAGCACCTGCTTAGGCAGATGCAGGGGCCTGGGAGATCGATCCCTGGGCCTGCTGTGCTGCCCCCGCCTGCAGGGCACGTTGAGAGGGCCATTGAGACTGGGCGTGGTGGCATGCACCTGTAATCCAGGTGCTTGGGAGGCTGTAAACAGGAGGATCACTACAAGTCTGATCTAAGTAGTGAGACCCTGTAGATGCTGTACACCCTGTACTAAATACATAAAAAAATACATTCAAATAGCATCTGTATCTCAAATTTCTGATGACACCTGAATGTCAGACCTACAGCTACAGCTGCCTACCTACTATCCCTTCCTCTTGGATGTTCCACAGTGTCTCACATCCCTTAGTATAAAAGGAACTTTTCTGTCGTGGGCTCCCCTGCCCTGCTCCAGTCTCCCCTTGCCTCTATGAACGTACCACTATCCATCTCCCTGAAGCCCACATATTTGTCAATGCCTTGCCTGCTACCCCATTCACCCACTACATTAGCTCTTTCCAAATCCTTCTGCACATGTTTACCAGAGCAACCTTTTAATTTTTAATTTTATTAGCACTTGTTTACAGTACATAATTATATTCATTGTGGGAAGCTGGCACATGTATACAAGCTATCTTGGGTCTTTTTATCCCCCCTCAAACTTTTCTAAAATGCAGCTCAAGTAGGGTACATACCTGTACTCCCAGCACCACAGGAAGCGGAGGAAGTAGGGTTTCAAGTTTCAGTCCAGCGCAGGGAATTTAAGGACTTAGCCAGAACCTATCTAAAACAGAAAATAAAAAAGGTGAAGCCTCAGATTCAATCTTCATTATGAAACCCCAAGCAAATCAGGATACTTTACTATCCTCATAAATTCTGGGTGCCAGGTGCCACTACATGAAATGCAGGGCAGGCACATTGTGTGGAGACAGTGGTACTCAGGTACTCGTGATATGGCCACCCAAGCCGTCCGCAGCAGGCCTTGCTTTCTTCTTTCCAGCCTCAACACCATCCCCTCCCTGCACTTCACTCTAGCTTTATAGGTCATCTCCAGTCCCCAGCTTGCTCCCTCTTAGCCTGGAAATTTATCACCTAGAAAAACCTCCTGTCTCCCTACTTCTCGCACAGCTGCTCCTTCTCCAGGGCTTGATGGGATGTCACCTCCCATGAAAAGCCCAGATCCCCTCCAGCGTGGCTAGCAGCGCCACTCATTCCCACCCCACTGTCTGCTTCACCAGACACAGTGCCCACCACCAAGCTGGCATCTCATCTGTTCATCTTTCTTCCCACAGAGTAGCTCTTGGGAGTAGACTCTGACTTATTTCTTGAATCTAGTGTCAACACTGAATAGGGAAGGAAGTGTTAAAGCTAAAAGTGGGTTTCATCTTTCGAACAAAGGTCAGATGGAATGGAACTGGGGGTAGCATGGAAGTGGACGCTTGGGGTGGTGTGGAACTGGCAATGGTAGGGATCAGATTTGCTATCTATGCAGATTGAATAGAGTTGGATGGATAAGGGGCTGGGGAGATAGCTCAGTAGAATAAGCGCTTGCCTGGCAAGTGCAAGGGCCTGAGTTCAATCCCCAGTTCTGCCAAAATAAAAGAGAGAGAGAGAGTTGGCTGGATGGCAGGGCAAGGCCCCAGATGGAAACCTTTGGTGCTAGCTAATGTGACCCAGGCAAGAGATGACGATGGGCTGGACTATGGCAGTAGTGATGGAGAGGGGGAGAATCACACAATCTTTTCTTTCTTTCTTTTTTTTTTTTGTATTTTAGGGAAGGGTCTACAGGGTGTTCAGGGTCTCACTACTAGATCAGACTCATAGTGATCCACCTGTTTACAGCCTCCGAAGAGCTGGAATTACAGGCATGTGCTACCACGCCCAGTCTCTATTGCCATCTCAGTGCACCCCAGGGGCAGGGCCAGCACAGCAGGCCCAGGGGATCAAACCCCTGGCTCCTGCGCCTGCTTGCAGGCGCTTTAATCTGCTGAGCTATTTGGGTGTTTTTGTTTTGTTTTCTGGTACCAGGGATTGAACTCAGGACCCTGCGCTTGCCAGGCAAGCATTTATTCTACTGAGCTATCTCCCCAAACCCTGGCTGAGCTATTTGGCCAGCCCTTGTCTCCCCTACCCTACCCAGAACTGGGGACTGAACTCAGGCCCTTGCGCTTGCCACGGAAGCGCTTATTCTACTGAGCCATCTCCCCGGCCCCTTTTTTGAAAGTTTTTCTCTGGTGCAGGCTGGCCTTGAACTCACAGTGATGCTCTTGCTTAGTCTCCCAAATGCAGGGATTACAGGTGCGCACCACTACACCTGGCTGAGAACCCCACAATCTTGACATAATTATGGAGCAGATGGTGGGAAGATTCTGGGGTATAGCTCAGTGGTAAAGCCCCCACCTAGTGTGCACCAGGCCCTAGGTTTGATCCCTAGGGAAGAAGAGGAGACTTGGAGGCAAGCAAAGAAAAAGTGTGAGGTGGGTGGATTCTAGTGTGACAAGAGAGGTTCCAGGGATGCCTTCTTCAGGAGTGGGGGAATCTAGAAGGAAGATCATGATTGCAGATGGAGAGAGAGTAAGGAGCTCAGTTTGGAACATGTTGTCTTGGAGCCACCTATGGGATACCCAGCACACAGCTGGACTTTCAGTCACAGCTGCAGAGGTCACAGAGGGCAAGAGGGAATGCACAGAGGTAGGTGAAAACACAGCAGGGAACACACAAGTCACAGATGTGAGTCAGGGGAAGTGAGAGAGGGAAAAGGAAAACACTGCTGGGGCTCTGCCCACCCCCTACTCTCCCATCCCCACCCCCGCAGACCCAGCCCAGACACAAACCCACCAGGTCAGTTTCTTTCCATGGTAGTTTTATTTGACTCAAGGGAAATTCAGACTCTGGACCAGCCCAGCCCAGCTCATCCACAGATCATGGGACCCTGTTTTGTAGCGGGTTTGTCTTCAGGGTCACAGCCTCTTTATCAGGGAACAAGGAAAGCATCTGGATCATATCTGTGTGTCAGAGAGGGGCCAGCCACTTGACCATGGGCCAGGGAGGGAGGCACATGCAGTGGGAGGGAAGGAAGGCCACTTCAGGACAGGTGTGAGGCTGTGGGTTTACAGTTGGCCTAGAGCAGGGGCAGGGAGTCCCCACCAAGGGGTTCAGTAGCTGTGAGCTGAAGACTTGTCCGGCTCACTGTGCTGCTCCTTCTGAGACTCAGTCACCACCTGCTGGGGGTAAGAAATGAAAAGCTGAGGTTTCAGTAGCGCCACCTGCTGTCCTCTGAGGGCATAACCAGCGGAGGCTTTGATTTATCCACCACCTTCTCTGTTGACACTAAGCACTAAGATCTGCAGCCAGGCTAGGGTTCAAAGGCCACGAGGCAAAAGGTGGAGTTGGGGCTAGGGGCTCACCTCCCCGTCCCGGGTTTCGATAGTCCTGATCAGAACCATCTTCCTGCTGTGGCTATCCTGGGATGGCTCCACCTCAGGCACTGGAGAGAGAAGCATGAGAGGCAGAAGGGAAAAAATGGGATTCCCTCCCTCCTCGCACCCACTCCTTGGGGGTACGGAAGGGTGGAGCGTGAGGAGTAGGGGTGCATCTAGGCTGGGCGTCTACAGTCGAGGGAGAAGGGTCCAATCAGGGCAGAAAAAGACATGGGCGTGCAGGCTGGAAGCCAGACATGCATGGAGAACTCACCAATCGTCTTCATACTTAAGGAGGCGAAGGAATGGACGGGCACCGAGATCCTGTGGGCACAGAGTGCTGTTGGGCCTCCGCCACCCCCAGCCCCACAGCCCAGCCCCAACCCAGCCTCGCCCAGACGCCCTGCTCCCCACCGGCTCTCCTCGCCCTCCAGCAGCTTCCGGTAGGTGGCGATCTCAATGTCCAGGGCCATCTTCACGTTGAGGAGCTCCTGATACTCGCGCAGGTGCCGGGCCATCTCCTCCTTGAGCTGCCGCAGCTCTTCCTCCAGCCGCGCCGCTCCAGCCTGGTATCCGCCCGCCTCCAGGGCGAACTGTTCCTCCAGCTCCCGCAGCTGCCGCATCAGCGCCTCATTCTAGGAGCCAGAACCGGGTCAGACGGGACCAGGCCGCCCGCGTACCTCCCGGGCGCTCCCCGCGTGGCTCACCGTGCCGCGCAGCCCGTCCACCTCACACGTAAGACTCTGGATCTGCCGTCGGGACTCGTTCATTTCTTGCTTGGCCTGGCGCAGAGCCTCGTGGTTCCGGTTGGCGGCATCAGAGAGATCCGCGTACTGCGGGCGGGGTAGCTCCGCTGCAGTGGGCTGGACGCGACCCCGCTGCAGCAGCCCGGTCCCTCCCGGCCCCAGCCCGCACCCCGCGGCCTTGCACCTTGGACTTGTACCACTCCTCGGCCTCCTGCAGGTTCTTTGCCGCGATGCTCTCGTACTGCGCACGGATGTCCCGCAGTGCCGCCGTCAGCTCGGGCTTCACGGTGGCCTCGACCTCCACGTGCTGCACCTGCTGACTCTCCGCACTCACCTGCAGGTCTCGAAGCTCCTGCAGCCAGCGCAGGCATAGGATGAGCCGGCCGCGGGCGGACGCCCGAAGGCAGAGAAACGTTTGCGAGGATACCGAGCGGCTCCAGAGCGGCCCCGCGGCAGGACCGCTCGTCCTGTGCCCACCTCGGTGCTAAGCACCTGCAGGGTCGGGGTGTAGCTCCGCTGTCGGCCAACAGGTGGCGCAGGGGTGGGTCGCGTGCCACCTGTAGAGCCTGGCCCACAAGCGACCCCGCCTTTCTGCCGCTCCACCCGCGGTCTCCCAGTTCTCCGCAAGTGAGGCCACTCCCCAACCTTCCAGGCTGCTCAACACCTAGGTCCTCTCACCTCCTCGTGCAGTTTCTTGAGGAACTCAATCTCATCCATCAGGGACTCAATCTTGCGCTCTAGTTCCAGACGGGACAGGGTGGCGTCATCCACATCCTTCATAGGGTGGAAGTGGGGTTCGAGAGGGAAGGCAGTCAGAATGAGGTCGACCGCGCCTTCCTGCTCTGTCTCAGGATGCAAGGATGAGATGGGAGGCGAAACTTGCGTGTTCCGTGTTCCGACTCACCTTGCGGAAGAGCACAAGGCTGTGCTCCGCATCCTCCCGCTTGCGCATTTCCTCCTCCAACCTGGTGAGCAGAGGAAACACAAAAGAAGCTGCCTACCCACGCCCTGAGCCCTGCCCTCAGGGCCACTGTGGCTGCTGCCCAGGGTTCAAGGACTAGGGTTCAGGCTACCTGGTGAACTCCCCTTTTGTTGTGCTGAGGATCCTGAGCCACAACCCCAGCCCCTTGACCTTTTTAGTGGACTGGAACCTGAGAAGTTGGTCCCCTTAAGGCCCAGGGGAAATAAAAGACGCCCTGCCGCAACTCCCCAGACAGTGCTGGGCGGAGGCTTGGCGCCCTCGGCCACAAATGTAGCGGCACCGGCTCGCGTTAGCCAGGGAGCCACGCCACTGGGCTCTAGGGAGGAAAGGAAGGGGCCGCAGTCGCCTCGACGGGGCGGTCGGGTCGCCACAGCCCAGCCCAGCCCTGACCTCTGCTTGAGCGCCGCCAGGTCCTCAGCCAGCCCGTCTCGCTCCACCAGCACCCGGTCGCGCTCCCGGCCCAGCAGCTCCAGCTCGCGCCGCAGCTCGCGCAGCTCCTGCTGGCACAGCTGGTCGGCGCGCGCCGGCTCCTGGCCCCGGGCCTGGCTCAGCTCGCCGCGCAGGGCCGCGTTTTGCTGCTCCAGGAGGCGCACCTTCTCGAGGAAGTTGGCAAAGCGGTCGTTGAGCTCCTGTAGCTCCTGCTTCTCGTTGCTGCGCGTGGCCAGGAACTCCTGGTTGAGGGCCTCAGCCATGGAGAAGTCGAGGCGCTCGGAGGGCAGGCGCAGGGCCCCCGCCCGAGGGGCGCGGAAGCTACCCAGGCGCACGGAGGAGCTCGAGGACCCCGAGCCCAGCAGGCGGCTGCTGGAGAAGCGCGAGCTGGAAGAGTAGGAGAAGGCCCCGGGAGACAGGGAGGGTGGTGGCCCGAAGGTGCGTCGGTACGAGGTTGCGACGCTGGCCCGCAGGCCCGACGGGCGGTGGCTCATGACGCCGAGCACCGCAGTCTGCGCTGGAAGGGCTGGGCTGGCGCGAAGGAGCCGCAGGAGCTCTAGGGCGGCTTTATAGCCCTGCTGGCTGAGGGGGGCGCGGGCGGCTCCTCCCCCTGGCCTGAGGCCGGCAGGAGCGGGTCTGGAGGGGAGGGGGCACCCCACCCTGCGGGCCGAGGCGGGCGCCGCACCCTCCTTCCCTAGGTTGCTGGCTCCGGGCCGAAAGATTTCCCCTGGTGCTGGCAGGGCTGGAAGCGGGATGCGACCACAGGCAAGGGCGGCAGGCAGCGCTTTCCAAAGCGGGCGAAGCCGGAGCTGGACAGGGTACTGAAGGGTTTGACGAGCAGGGGTTCCTGCTTGGACGGGCTGTAGAGTTAGGGGAGGAGGAGGTGAAACTAAAACACAAGCTTCTAGCTGGGAGCTGAGGAGCTGGGGAGCTCTGGTCTAAGTAGGCCCTGGAACTTGGACTGGGGCTGTCACCTGCTGTCAGCCATCCCCTCCTTCACCACACACCCAGAAGTGGGGGACGGGTAGAGGCAGCAGGCCTGCCGAGGGCTGCTGCTTCCTACTCCCCAGGGCCCTCTGAAGGGCTCGCCCGTTGGCGCCAGCCCCGCTGCTAATGGACTGACCGGCTCCCCTCCCCCTGCCCCTGCCGGGCAGAGGCTGCTGCAGCTAGGCTCCGTCTTAAAGACGCAGCCCCCGACCCCTGCCGGTTCCCAGGCCCCAAGAAGGTGAGTACTTCACAGGAGGCTGAAGATGGCTGGCTCTGCGTCCCCTTGGTGGGTCTGTGCCATGCCATAGGTAAATGAGTGGTCTGTGGGTGCCCTCTGACTTTATTGGAGCCTTCTGCTCCCCTCCCTCCCAACTGCGGCTCAGACTCTGGCCTTCCTGGAACCAGGGAGATTTTGATGTGGGAAGGGGAAGGAGCTGCTGCCAAGGCTGAGAGATGGACAACTGGCAGGAACCGGTTTCCAGTATTGATGAGGTATAGGTGCCCAGGAGTGGAAGGGGCTAGAGGAGAACAGAAAAGGAGAAACTGGAGATGCCCACCCCAGTATGCAAGAGGAGAAGGAAGGCCCTGGACAAGCCAGAGGAGTAGGCATGGCCCATTACTGTTGTACATGTGCGCTTCCCACCCATACACAATTGGACACATCAACATACTCCCTCATGCCCTGCTCTACTACACCCTGACTTATCTGGAAGGCTGACATCCAGCCCTTTGCATGTCACCCGGCTTCCAGAATGTAGCATGGGCTGCCCAGGGTGAAGAGAGCTTTTTCTCATGGTCTGTGGGGGCCAGGTGCTGAGGCCTGCTGGCTTTGCCAGGAGCCCTGAGGCTGCCATTGCTGGAGACTTCAGGGCTCTCCAGCTAGACAGTGAGCTTTAGCTTGGCCGTGAGGGTGAGCAAGGTAACTGGGGAAGCAAGTTTGGGGTTCCAAACTGGACCTGTGCTTTGGGTGAGGAGGGCGTTCCTTGGCAGGCCCACTTCTCTACAGGCAGGGCAGAGAACTCCCTCCTTCCTTTGTGTGTCCTCTGAGATGGGCCTGAGCCAACACAGGCTTGGTAGCACTCTTCTCCCTGGGCCTTCCTCTCCTCTCCAGGCCCCTCCTTCCTTTCTGGCTATTAGTCTTTCTGTGTACAGCTGCCAGGTCCTTCTCCTGGATGGACTTGGCTTGGTTGCCAGGGAAATGAGAATGATGGGATGGATGAAACAGGGCTCCAAGAGTGGGGAGGGGCAGAGTCTGAGTGGGCTGGGAGCCAGGCGATTGGCAGGTTCCAGAAGGAAGCCTGAGGAGCCTTGGTGCTTTCTGCCACAGCCTGGTCTCCGGGCCCAGCTCCTATTGGTCTGAAGCCCCAGCTACCCCAAATGCCCTCCCCTCTGCACCAGAGGGGAGGTCAGGCCAGGCCAGGGGAGGACAAGCTCTAGTCTCTCCCTTTAGGGAGCTAAGAGATCTGGACCTTTGAGAGCAGAGGGACTGGGATTGGGGTGGTGCAGATTAGCTAACCTCCAGATCCTAGGGGAGGAGCCCAGAGAGCAGAGGGGCTGGGATTGGGG